AGCTTCAGGGCACTCATGATCCTGTATGGATACTCCGACGCCTTGATGTGCCGGACTTTCCAGGCGACCTTTAAGGGAGCCGTTCGGCGGTGGTTTTCCAGCCTCCCACCTAGGTCATCACCTCATGGGAGCAACTTTCCATCATGTTCCTCGCCCGCTTCATCAACAGACGACGCCCCCAAAAAAGCATTGTCTCGCTGATGATTGTTAAGCAGAAGCGAGGAGAGAGCTTGCGGTCATACATCGACCGCTTCAAAAAAGAACTTGAGGTCCGTGACCTCGACCCCCTGGTCTCTATGCATGCCGCCATCAGCGGACTCCTCCCCGGCTCGGCCCTCAAATGCTCCGTTGCCAAAAGCCGACCAAAGACGAAGCTAGAGTTCCTAGAAAAGGCCTAGAAGTACATTGCGGTCGAAGAGGCTTCGGCTACGGAAGCCCATGAGAGAGGCACAGAGCATCGGGATGGAGCCCCTGAGAAGAAGAGGAAGAGTGGAGACCAGGGCCGTAGCAACAACAACTACAACAGGAAGCCACCGGTCTCGGCCTTGTCTTACAATCAGTACACGCCACTCAACTCCACTCGCACACAGGTTCTGATGTAGATCGGGCAAGAGAAATTTATGAAGTGGCCTGAAAAGTTGAAGAACCCCTGCCGGGGGAATCCCAAAAAATACTGCAAGTTCCATCGAGGTACCGGCCACGACACTGAGGACTGCTATGATCTCAAAAACGAGATAGAGTCCCTCATTTGTTGGGGACACCTCAAGCAGTACGTTGGAGGCGAGGCCGGTGCCTCGTCCTCCTAGCAGCAGCAGCAGCAGCACCAACAAGTAGTAGGCATCATCGACGTCATAGCGGGAGGCACGACCTCGGGTGGAGCCTCGTCCTCAACTCGCAAAGCCTACGCCAGACAACTAGCTGAACATTCAGGGGCCGGCCCCCAAGAAGCAGAAGCAAGAACCCCTCTCCTTCACGGATGAGGACCTGAAGGGGGTAGCAGTCCCCCATGACGACGCATTGGTGGTCTCGGCCGTCATTGCAAATTTCGTAGTCAAAAGGATCCTTGTTGACAGTGGCTCCTCAGCCGACATCCTTTTCTACGAAGCTTTTGAAAAAATGAAGATAGCTTCGGAGCGCCTCCAACCAGTAGATGCCCCACTAGTCGGCTTCTCCGACAGCATCGTCAAACCAAAGGGCAAGATCTCCCTACCAGTCAAAGTAGGGACGGAGCCCCAGCAGGTGACAAGGATGATAGAGTTTCTAGTTGTGAAGATCGGCTCACCCTACAACGCCATCATTGGGAGACCAACTCTTCACGCACTCCGAGCAGCCATCTCCTACCACCTCGCCTTGAAGTTTCCCACCGAGTACGGTGTCAGAGTTGTTCGTGGGGACCAGCATGCTGCTCGTCAGTGCTATGTGGCAGCGCTGAAGGGCAAGAATAAAGAAGCTCTGCCACTAGAGGGGCTCGACCTCAGGGAGGAGCCAGCGAGCCGAGGCCAGTCGGCTGAGGACCTCGTCTTGGTCCCCCTAGACGAGGACGAATCCGACAAGACAGTTCGCGTCGGGTCCAACCTTCCCCCCGAGAGCCTATCCGAACTGGTAAGTTTCCTCAGACTCAATGCCGACGTCTTTGCTTGGTCCGCCGCTGACATGCCCGGAATTGACCCCTTGGTCATTACGCACTAGCTGAGCGTGGACTCGAGTTCTAGGCCAGTTTGGCAAAAGAAGAGGAACTTTGCACCGGAACGTTGGAAGGCCATAGAGGAGGAAGTTGAAAAGTTACTCGACACCGGCTTCATCTGAGAGGTACACTACCCTAACTGGTTGTCAAATGTGGTTATGGTAAAGAAAGCTAACGGGAAATGGCAGATCTGTATTGATTTCACAAACCTTAACTGAGCCTACCCGAAGGACAGTTTTCCTTTGCCGAGGATATACCATCTCGTTGACGCCACTGCAGGGTACGAGCTACTTAGCTTCATGGATGCCTTCTCCGGATACAATCAGATAAAGATGCACCCAGA